AACCATTAAATGGCTTTTAATTAATTCATTTAATTAAAATCTCTAGATTTTAAAAGTCATCCAAGTGACCTCAATTAAATGTATGTTATTCAACATGTCAAGACTTGTTTTAAAAGCACGATACAAGTGAATTACATGCAAGATACGACCATGAGTATTAAACTTTAATACTAGAAAAATAATAAATGAAAGGTTTCAAAATCTAACCAAATATTCTAGATTTAATATATGTGAAACTACATAGCATGCACATCATGAATATCAAGTCGGAATTTCAATGGAGGGAATAGTACACTCGGAATAAATTAATTAATCAATTAATTAAATATTCTCTAAACTTCAAAACATCTCCAATTACTCTCAAATTTACCTATGTTGAAGAGTAAATTAAAGCCTAAGTTAATATACTAACACACATTGATTTCAAGCTAGGTAAAGCCATGTGAATTAATCTTTCATTAAAGATAAATATTAAATAAAATCTTTATTTCTTGTTCAAATATACTAAATTTAATATATGTCAACGACTATATTATGGAGTAATATAATACCATGCTACATGTTCAAAACAAGTTATGGGCAACCGGGAAAATTAAATCCAATACAAGAAAAATAAATAATAAAATCTCTAGATTTCATATTTAAGCATGTAAACAAGTTGTATAAGCATCAATAGCATGCTATATAACAAGAATTAAACCTAGAACATCCCTTACCTCAATTTGAGATGAAAATCCAAAATCCCCACCGAATTGAAACGGCTCCGAATCCGACGAAACTCCTAGGTTTTGTCGGGGACAACACGATCTATATGAATCTCCAAGAAGCCCCATGAAAATCCAAACTTGACCTCAATCCCGAACTTGAAATTTGGTCAGAAATGATTTCTAATAAGGGGTAATGGTGCGCGTAGTCAACACGAACACCAAACGTAAAGGCACTTCAACTTTTTAACAAAGGAATGAAGTTCAAAAGAGGAGAGAGGTGGTGGCAGCCTCCCTTGGGCTGCAATGGGAGCTCTGGTCATGCAAGGTGATTGGGGAAGATGAAAAATGAAATATTTCACCCCCCTTTTAACGAAATCTCAAAAAGTGCCCCAAACGGGCTCCGCCGGGTTCGGAAAAGTGAAATTTGAGCAAACACGCTCAAATGGCAAAACTCCGTGAATGAAAAAGATTCAAAATGAGAAAATATGAACAACCAAAGAAATGACGTCTAAAACGGAGTCCCAAACAGAAAGTTATGCCCCAAACAAGTTCGGCGGTAACAAAGGCCATAAATCCCTAAAACTGGGGAAAACGACCGGAAGAAAATTCTATGAATTTACGGGTCAATGAAAAGTGAAAATGAATCATGTACGAGGATCCAGGCTCCAAACGAGATATCTTGCAATAACTTTCGTTAATTGCACAATGGCCCCTACAAAAAAGGTTAACTACGAAACTGCCCCAGAATGAAAATATCTTCCAAAAGATATTTTCTTAGATACCCCTGAAATAAAATATCTTCAAAAGATATTTATAAAAAACACCCCAAGAAATGAAAAAGATTCTAAAGAATTGTGCATCTATGCCCCTGTGGACACCAGGAGCAGCCAGAGTACTCTCTGACAAAAGTAAAGATACGTATTTCGAGGAAACCACTGAAGATGAAGGTACGTGAAGTCAAAAACTAACTCCGAGCACGAAAAGTGAGGTTTTGCCAAACAAGTGACAAACGGGAGAAAGACGAAACAGGGAAAAGGACGAAAGGCGCATAATGTCCGAAAAGTGAAAATGCGAAAATGACTAGGTCTTGAAAGGAAGTTGTCAATTCACATGAAAGAGTCTCATAAACCAATTCTGAGCACTCGAGATGATACTAAGCGACACGAAACAAAGCTCAGAAAAGAAAATTAAACCAAAAAAATTCATTTGTAAAATTTTAGGAAAAAGGAAAGGGAGGTAAATGATTGGGTCGTTACATAACCGATGATCTTGCATTGAATTAAATTGGAATTACTTTAGATATTGGTATTTCTATCATTCTATTTTCTCTTTATTACGATACTCATATAACATGGTTGGTTACATTAAGAGGGAGAAAATCTAAAAAAAAATTTTGGATAATTAATTCAAAGGGAGTTTTTAACTTGTTTTATTAAGCTTTCACTAGTAGTTTTGCTTGATCCATATGCAGGAATTCAGGTACAATTTTGTCCAAGAGCAAAAGAGAACAAAGATAGACAAATTCCGCGTTTTCATAGAACAATTGTAATTTATTTTTCTGCTTCAAGTAGATTATAAATTGTTTTTAGGGTTTTGTCACAAAATTGCCAAAGGGGGAGATTGTGAGATATATTTTTGTATATTGGCATATTTCGGTAACAAAACAAGTCCTAGTCGAGTTATAATTACAGTTACCATATCAAGTTTGACATCCACTGCGGAATTGGACGTTTGCTCAGAAGAGGAACATACTGTTGATCATTAAAAGGAAAGAATAACGCATTAGAACATCGTTTCCCACTTAGGACACAATGATATACATGGTATATTAACAGAGTTCCAAAAATACAAAAAATCCACATTCAGGGTGGATTCTGTCAAGTGGGAACCAGTTCTAAATTTGGGAACCAGTTCCAAAAGCTATTCTTCAAAGCAAAACTCACTGTCCTTTGGGAACCGGTTCCACAAGTCCTGGATGCACAAGGTTTTAAGTTTCATTGTTCTGCTGGTTTCCTTTTTTATCCTAATTTCTTTCTAAGTACTATGCACGAATTTTCCTTTATTTTATAAAAGAATAGGACTTTGCAAACCTCTATATAAACCATGTCATATACAAGTTTTATTCACGGCTTTAAATCATTATTCATACATCATACGAAGCCTTAGGAAGTTTATTTCTCTCAAAAAATCAAAGTTAATTTTTCTGGTGTCTTCCTAGAACATACACATATTCACCTAGTTAGGTTAGAGTTATGGAGTTCGAATCCTGATCGTGATCATACAGTCGTATCAACATTGATCAGACGAAGCAGATCTTCTTCTACATCATTCAGACAGTTGAAGAACAGAAGTAAACGCAATCACACTTTGAAAGGGTTGGAGCATTCGTGGAGTGCTGTCTAATCTACCTGATACTCTTCTACAAATATTAAGTGTAAGCCTAAGGTCAAGTTGCTATTGGACGGGGAGTCGTAAAGCCAGAGGATCGTCAGCGGTTAGTGTGGTATAGAACGATAGGGTGTGAGCCGGAGTCAAAGTTCAGTATACTTTGTTTCAAGCATAGTGGATTGATTTACTTTGGACTGCACAAGTCCACGAGGTTTTTCCTTTAACTTTTGACGTATTTTATTAAATGGGCTTTCCTCGTTAAAATCCTGGTGTCATCTCTAACTCTATACTTTGCTTTATTTTATCTCCATGTGATTAACTGTTTAATTGCTAAAATAAGTAAAGGTAGTTACGACATAGATCTGTTTTAAAACAAACAAAACTTTCTAAGTATTTTTCGCTGCGTACGACTCACATCATTAACATTACATCAATAGAATATACAATTTCTCTCTCTTTCTCTTATTTGTAACAACTGGAAAAAATGAAAGCTTATGTTCGAAACTTGAGAAAGAAGGATTCGCCGTCCCCGGAGTTTCATGTCGATCGTGAAGCTGAAGCTCAAGAAACCGGACGAGGTTTCGTAGAGGTGGGTCGAAGACGACGCCGGAGCAACTTGGCCAAACTTGAGTTCTTGCTTGTACTGGTTGATGGCTTTTTCGGGTTCTTGTTTGTATTGGGTTTTCTTATTGTCTGTGTTAGTGGGAGAGGACAGAAAGAGCTGTCACGCGTCTTGGGTGACATCGCGTCGGGAATGACAGTGTAGTCCGAGTGTAGCAACCCAGTTTTGCTTGAAGTCGTTGGAGATCAAAGGGATCATTGCCGTTGCAACTTGTCATCAGAAATAATGGCCGTTGGAGCTTGTCGCCAAGTAAGAAGAAGAAAGAGGAGGGAAGATGGTTTTTTTTTTTTTTTAACTACCCTTTTTAGTAATTTCACAAAATATTAATTTTTTATATGTATTATAAAATGTGCTGCTAATGGCATTTTAGTCCAATTGTATTATAAATGTGCAAGTACGACCTATATGCACAAATGTCATAATTTAGAGGTGTTTTCTTGTATGTGAGAGGTGCAACATGCACTGTAAACGTACAATAGAGTTATTTGTGTAGTTAACCCTTATTGTTAAAATAGAGAGAAATATAAAAGGAATGCAACATACTCCGTACTTGCTTTTACTGTTATTGCTTTATTTATCGGAGTTCATTCACACAAAAGACTAGCAATAAATTTGTGGAAACTGGGTGGACAAATACAACATGAAATAAGCATGCATCCACACGCATATTTAGAGAGTTTTTTTGTTTTTTTTTTCATTCGCAATAAACTAATACACACCACACCCACACACTCAATTTATTTCTTTGAATACTTGAACAATCAATATTGTAAAAAAAATATCACCGAGCCACAAGACCTTTCTCCACATTTAGAGTTATATTAGTACCATTAATTCTTAAAATGTTATGATGGATTTTAATGTCAATCATGTGATGTTTATAAAGACAAAAAACCAAGTTGTTGCGGATTCAATTATATGTACAACCGCACTGCTCTGGCATCTTGGATTCTAGTGTCCCAGAAAGTGACCGAAGTAAAAGGTGCACGCCTTCCCATGAAAAGCTGCACGCCAAACACAAACACATGCCATGAGGCCCATGACATAAAAATATTGACAAACCCAAACACATGCCAACCCACCTAACTTTTATCCTTTTCTCTACAGAGAAATCCTTGGAAACAACTTTTGACTGCAATTTTCTTCTAAACTGAATAGCAATACTATGTTTTGAACATGGAAAATGATAAAACTCCAAAATGTTGACAAGAGTTCTAGTTCGACACTACACATTAGATTCGCACAAAAAACACTGACCAGTTATTCGAACATTACCCTTTCAATATACAGACAATGACCATAGATGGCCTTTGATTTGAAAGAATAGAAAATCAATCCACAATGTTGCAATGTATTTGTAAGAACAGTTCTGAACACAGGCTCCAATAAAACTTCAAATGCCGAACAAGTCCCATTTTTAGCATTTTGAGATGTTTTTCTTGCTTTTGATAACAAGATTGAAAGCAATTCTAATTTTCAAAAGCAACGAAAAGGAATCCAAAATGCTAATAAAAGATGTCACCGCGCAAGCCCTGTTTCATCCTTCATTATCTAGACTAATTTCTTTTCTTTTTTTATCATTGACAACAAACATAACTCACACACCCATCGAGGCAAATTTTCCACTCACTTAATTTTGAGCATTTACAATTTTCTTCGACTCCCTCGTCGTCTCCATCTCAGCTGTCTCTGCTTCCTCCCTGAACTTCTTATATATATCCCCTCTGTAGAATTCGCGAGTTCTCGCCACTAAAACAAGCGAAGCAAGAGCTCCAAAGCACGTAACAGCTGCCAATATTATAAAAGACAGTCCATAACAATGGGTACCAATGCAAGTCAATTCCTTCGCCGCGGATGATCTCTGCATTCCCTTCCTTGCAAGCTCTTTCAACGCCTCACGATCATAAAGAAGTCCTGTGACCTTCACATTCAGTACATATGAGCCAAGGGGACTAGCCAATTGGCCGCAATTGAACAATGTCGCGTAATGTTTTAGGCCAAACAGCTCAGAAATTATGATATTAAGTAGCGGAAATTGTGCCCCTAATGAGAATCCAATGATCACCGAGGCCACATATACTGAACCCGGGAATGGAATGGCGACGAGAAGGTGGCCGATGCAGGACAAGAAAAGGACCAGTGTGGTCATAAGGGGCCTGGGGAATTTGTACCTAACGAGTAAAATTTCCGAGACAAAGCCAACCGATATCCTCCCAAAGAAATTCCATATGCTTAAGAGTGACACAAAGGACTTAATGGTTTTAGCTGGATATCCCAGTGATTCCCCAATCTGACCCAAGTTGTCGACTGCAGTTAAGCTTGCCCCGAGTCCACAAACTGTTGCAATGAATAGAATCAGCATGTCCATGCTAATAAGTGCCTGCAAGATTGTGTAATCTTCTCCTCTTTCCGGTTTGTTGAAAATGTCCGTGAAGAAATTAGATACTCGCCATGGCTTCTCTTGATCTGGCAGCTTTCGTGGTGATGCTGGTTTTGTTTCTATCATGGTAGGATTAATAGTGTGTTGTTTCTTTTGATTCCAGAGGACTAACTCTTCCCTTATGGAAATCAAAAGAGGGACGAAGAGCAAGAGACAAACCACAGTGGCACTTCCAGCATAAGCTGCTGGCGAAAATGCTACTTCTTTTTGTATTATGGTCATAATCATTAAAAACAAAGCTAGGAAAATGGATGCATATAGGAAATGATAAAAGACTCTGAGCTCATTTGGTTGCTTGACTACCTTCATAGTCCGAATTGTATAGACGAAAACCACAGAGATTGCAGCCGGAAGCCACGCAACAAGAAGGATGATAGATTTTGAGTCATTTGATCCATAGATGGCTAAGTAGAGTTGGGTCATAATAGCTCCACTTAGTCCAGTGAAACCCTTCAAGAGACCGACCAAGACACCGCGATTCTCCGGGAAGTTCTTGACAGAAGTGACAAGAGCTCCTGTATTTGCGAAGTTCTGAGAATTGGCTCCAATGCACATGTACATGCACATCTGCCAGACTTTCGGCTTGGCGATTCTCGCGGTGACTGCCAGCCATACCATGAAGAAGCCACCGAAATTCATGGCTGCGCCGATTAGTAGCACAAACCATGTTGGGGTTACCTCCGCGATTAGGCCGGAGAGGACTCCAACATACGCGCCAAGATCTTTGGAAAAGCCGAGGAGGTTGAGGGTGGTTTGATCATATTGAAGAGAGACTTTTATCTCTTTGGAGTAGATTCCGAAAAGATAAGTTCCGCCGGCTCCAGCCATGACTAGAAAGGAGGCAAAAAGGGATAGCCATGGACCTCGAACAACATGTACAATCAAACCAAAGATGTCACAGCCATTTCCCGCACCACCACTGCCACTGGCTCTGCGCATAATGCCTATTGAAATTGAAAAGAACAGGCAAGAGATAGAAGATGCTCCGAATATATATTTTATATATGTATGAATGTATCTATGCATTTGTGGGCTTGTGGAGGAGTATAGTTATTGGGGACAGGGTCTCATCTTACCACCACTAATTCATCATCTATTAGAACTTCGCAGTTTACTGTGCTTAAGTGATCATACCTTTCTTACACGCAAATTGGAAGGAAAGTGACTCAAATTGTACTAATCCAACCACTAAAGTGAACTTACCTTTCTTACACGCACATGGTCATCGATGAAGGTCACTGCATAAGTCATTGTCTCGGCCCATTTTCTCAATCCACGAACGGTACAAATCCTTCAAGTAACAATCCTTGCGGTACAGGTGTGAAACAACTTCAATGAAGCTAATCATATTCAAATCCAATCATTCATATGTTCTCCAAAATGAACCAAGTAATCATAGCCTTGAGTAATAAAAGCAAAGCCACCAATGCTGTCCCTTGTTGGAAAGAAATCTGTCTTGTCGAAAATTCATTTACTAATTGAAATGGAGCAAACAAAAATTCTTTATAGAGTAACATGACTGCAATCTCAGAAGCCGAATATTTTTCATCGAAATCAATTTTCATCTTATCTAGAATGAGCTGAAAATAAATCATTCTCACAAACTTCTTCCAATTGAAAAATGTAGGGAGCCGCAAAAATTCCAAGAATTTTGTTTTTAGAAAGTAGACTCGTGGATGTATAAAACTTAAAATTTTAGTAATTTTTCAAAGTCAAGAAGTCAGTCAAATAATGTTGTCAAAATCTATTCTTAAACAGTGACATGAAGCTGGATAGTATTTCCTGTCCGATTTTTAAAAAATAATTACATATCTTAAAATCATAAAAAAAAATAATTAGTTTGTGTTATATTATGGATGTAATGGGTGTTCTATATGTTGCATATCCATCAAAGTGATGTCATTTTAAGGCATGGTTATGTAACAGAGAGGATCGGATCACTTAGGAAGGCCATGTAGAGAATTCGTGGGGTATGCGTTGGCGAAGCTCACTTGTAAGGATATATAGATCTCTTTCCTTTTCATTTTCTTTTTCAATTTTTCTATTTTTTATTATTCTGCCAGTCAAAAGAATTGACTGGCAGTGACCACTGACCACGTACCAGTCAAGATATTACTACCAAAATAAAATATGAGTCTTTAGAAAAGAGGGCCCGAAGCATGCGTTGGTCTCAATTTGAGGAATCTTTGTTTGATTTGTAATTAAGAAAATAATTTTTAACAGAAAATATAAAACTTTTTTGAGTTAATTACAAAAAACATTTAAAAATATATATCTTTTTTAAATTAAATTTTTAAAAATAATTATCAAAAACTGTCAATTAAACAGATTTTTGTATAATATATAATTATTTTCATAGTGCCATTTATTTTAGTACTTAGAGCAATCCAGCGCATAGTAATAGTGTACAATATCTGAACTTGTGTATAATGAAAGGCTCTGCTATGCACATTACACACAATTGGGGCCCATCTCATATTACACACTCCACAGATGAAGAATGAAGTAGCGCTTGGCAGTGGACAGTAGCGGCTGGCGCAGTGGGCCATTGTGTGGGATAATGATTTAAAATGAAAAAGTGATATTGTGTGATGATATATAAAATAATTATTTTATGTGTAAAATAATAATATAATAAAGTGTATAATGAAAAAATGAGTGCACAACAAGAATTTGGAATCTCTAAAATAAGTGTGCAATCAATTGCTGTTGTGGTTGTACACTTTACATAAAGTGTAGAATGGAAAGAGTGCCTTGCATTGGGGTTGCTCTTAAAATAGTCTAACAAAAATTAATACAAAAAGAAAAGAGAAGCATAATGGACCTTTCTTAAGCATTGATGTTTAAGATGGAGAGAAATAGAGAGAGATTCTATCTTTTATTTTGAGATGCTTCAAAATAAATTTGTTCACTTTATAAAATCAGTTGTGTCTTTCCCAAATTCTAATTAAAATTTGAATTTATTTCAAAATTAACAAGATGATTACTTTTGAAGTTTCAAAAGATGGCACGAGAACAGCAATTTTCCAGGCCAAGGAGTAACACAACACAAACATAGAGAGAGAATTAACTATTAGAAACGGAGGTATTAAAAATATAAACTTTGGATGAAAATTGAAATAAATTTCACTAATAATTTTTTGCGGATCTATAAACGAGCGCGTTCCTCTCCGCAAGGAGATGAACGTAGTATATTTACTTTCTCAAATCCGTTTCCGGATGAATGAGAAATTAGATCCAAAGTGAGGTGTTTGATAAGCCTAAATGAAAAAAATGTTGAAATCAATTGAAGTTTAAATAAGTTAAGCTTGGGCTTGAATTTGGGCTTGGGCTTAGGCCTAATTGTAAAGTCTGGTTATTCTTTTTACTAAATGGAATTTTGGATTGTGCCTGTTTTTGGGCTGGACTTATTTAAATGGTTTCACAAATGGTTGGTTTTTTGGGTGGTTGGTTTTTTGAATTTAAATTAAAAAACCACTTTTTAGTTTTTTACAAAGGGTTGCACCTTTTTCCGAACCACCATAACCCATGATTGCACCCACCTGAAAAGGCACTTTGCAACCTATAAATACCCCCCTTTGGATCATTTGCAAATCACACCAAAATTCAGAGAATTCTTCTCTTCTCTGAATTCAGAGAATTTTCTTTTTCCTCATTCTCTCTTTACTCTGTGGGTTCGACCCTTAATATTTGGGTTTGGACCTTAGTCAGTCACTCCGAGTCCGAGTTCGAGTCAGAGAATACTACACCGAGCCGGTTCGCCTATTCGTTTGGTTTGCAGTGCTCCTACCGAAGGAAGACAACTCATTGTATCTTGGGAGATAGACGCCACTGAGTCCGTGAGCACCATAACGGGGCGAATCTGTCTTAAGGACATAGAATCAAATTCTAGCCTTGACTTTTAATCAGATTCCTTTATTTTATATTTTTATTTGATTATATTAAACTTTGTATTATAATAAATTATATAATTATAGATTATTATTTTATAATAATAATTACATATATACATTATATTTTCAAATAATATTTAAATAAATAATACTATAGTATATAGTATAATTAAACCATATTTTGGACTACAATCTTAAGACAGATTCTGATTATACTATAGTTTAATTATTTAAATATTGTTATTATTTTATTTCTGTAAATTTGACTGTGGTCTGTATATTTAATACATATCAGACAAATGACAAGTACAAGTACTATGATGCCTAATGTTCCCATCAGTCATAGGGAGAGGCCCGAAAAATTCAATGGGGCGGAGTTTAAAAGGTGGCAACAGAAAATGATGTTCTACCTTACAACTCTGAATCTAAGCAAGTATCTAACTGAAACTACCCCAGTGCTAGATGAGGGTGAGACTGACATTACCAAGCTAGGAGCTGTTGATACATGGAAGGATGGAGACTTCCTATGCAAGAACTACATCCTCAATGGATTGGACAACACTTTGTACAATGTGTATAGTCCAATAAATACTGCTAAAGAGCTCTAGGAGTCACTAGACAAAAAGTATAAAACAGAGGATGCTGGCTTGAAGAAGTTCGTGATCAGACGATTTCTGGACTTCAAAATACTAGACTCCAAGACAATCATGAGCCAAGTGTAGGAGCTCCAGCTGATCCTACATGAGATACATGCTGAGAAGATGACATTGAGTGAATCCTTTGAAGTAGCTTCAATCATTGAAAAGCTGCCACCTACTTGGAAAGATTTTAAAAATTACTTGAAGCATAAGCGCAAGGAAATGGGGCTTGAATACCTGATTGTCAGCCTAAGAATTGAAGAAGATAACCGCACATCTAAAAAGAAAGCCGGGAATTCTTTAATGGTGTCAAAAGCAAATATAGTGGAAGCTGGACAGAAGAATAAGAAAAGGAAGTACTCTGGCGAAGGTCCCAGCCAAGGAAACTATAAGAGGTTCACTGGGAAGTGCTTCATATGCGGTAAGCTAGGACACCGAGCTAAAGACTGTCGTAGCCGCAAAGCACAACGCAACCCCAAGAAAAAAACCACTGAGGTGCACATTGCTAAGGAAGACAAGTTGACAGCTGATGTGCCGAGCTAAATCTTTCAGCTGTGGTTTCTGAAATCAACCTGGTGAGCAACAATAGAGAATGGTGGGTGGACACAGGAGCTACTCGTCATGTTTGCTCTAAAAAGAAGATGTTCACTACCTATGAAGTTATAGATAATGAAGAACAACTCTACATGGGGAACTTTTCTACTCCAAAGGTTAAAGGACAAGGAAAGATCAAGCTACTAATGACCTCAGGGAAAGAGCTCACTCTTAATAATGTGCTGCATGTACCAGACATCGGGAAGAACTTGGTCTCTGGGTCACTTCTAAGTAAGAATGGGTTCAAGCTGGTCTTTGTATCTGACAAGTTTGTGCTGACTAAGAATGGGGTGTATGTGGGCAAAGGGTATCTAAGTAATAGACTACTTAAGTTCAATGTAATGACTGTTATACCCAAATCTATTAATAATAATAATAAAGTTAATACTTTTTCTGCTTATATGATTGAATCATCTGATGTGTGGCATGGTAGATTAGGACATGTTAATTATGATACGATTCGTAGATTAATTAACATGGATTCTATACCTAAATTTAATATTGATTTAAATAAAAAATGTCAAACATGTGTAGAAGCAAATTGACTAGAACCTCCTTTCACTCTATATAGCGAAGTACTGAACCTCTAGCATTAATTCACAGTGATATTTGTGACTTTAAATCTGTGCCAACTAGAGGTGGGAAAAAGTATTTCATTAGTTTTATTGATGATTGCACAAGATAGCGTTATGTATACTTGTTAAGAAATAAAGATGAAGCCTTGGAAATGTTTAAACATTACAAGAATGAGGTTGAGAATCAACTTGGTAAAAAGATAAAGGTGTTTAGAAGTGATAGAGGTGGTGAATACAAAGCACCATTTGCTGACATTTGCTCATAACATGGTATTATTCACCAAACTACTGTTCCTTATTCACCTCAACAGAACGATGTTGCTGAACGCAAAAATCGTACCTTAAAAGAAATGATGAATGCTATGTTGATAAGTTCTGGTTTAACCCAGAATTTGTGGGGGGGAAGCTTTACTCTCTGCTAATTATGTTCTCAACA